GTTTTCTGGCTAAACTAGAAGAGATAGAGCGATTCTACGTGTTTTTGTGATTACTGGGAATGCACAGATTCTGCCGATATATGATAATAGGTTGTAGCAAAAATATTTTTGGAGATATTTGAAAAAATCTTTTGCAAAACTTTAAACGTTGTTTCTGGCTAAACTAGAAGAGATAGAGCGATTCTACGTGTTTTTTGTGATCACTGGAAATGCACAGATTCTGCCGATATATGATAATAGGTTGTAGCAAAAATATTTTTGGAGGTATTTGAAAAAATCTTTTGCAAAACTTTAAACGCATTTTCTGGTTAAAACGCATTTTCTGGCAAAATTTTAAACGCATTTTCTGGCTAAACTAAAAGAGATAGAGCGATTCTACGTGTTTTTTACGATCACTGGGAATGCACAGATTTTGCCGATATATGATAATAGGTTGTAGCAAAGATATTTTTGGAGACATTTGAAAAAATCTTTTGCAAAACTTGAAATGCGTTTTCTGGCTAAACTAGAAGAGATAGAGCAATTCTACGTGTTTTTTGTGATTACTGGGAATGCACAGATTCTGCCGATATATGATAATAGGTTGTAGCAAAGATATTTTTGGAGATATTTGAAAAAATCTTTTGCAAAACTTTAAACGCATTTTCTGGTTAAAACGCATTTTCTGGCAAAATTTTAAACGCATTTTCTGGCTAAACTAAAAGAGATAGAGCGATTCTACGTGTTTTTTACGATCACTGGGAATGCACAGATTTTGCCGATATATGGTAATAGGTTGTAGCAAAAATATTTTTGGAGATATTTGAAAAAATCTTTTGCAAAACTTTAAACGCATTTTCTGGTTAAAACGCATTTTCTGGCAAAATTTTAAACGCATTTTCTGGCTAAACTAAAAGAGATAGAGCGATTTTACGTGTTTTTTACGATCACTGGGAATGCACAGATTTTGCCGATATATGATAATAGGTTGTAGCAAAGATATTTTTGGAGACATTTGAAAAAATCTTTTGCAAAACTTGAAATGCGTTTTCTGGCTAAACTAGAAGAGATAGAGCAATTCTACGTGTTTTTTGTGATTACTGGGAATGCACAGATTCTGCCGATATATGATAATAGGTTATAGCTAAAATTATTTTGGAGATATTTGAAAAAATCTTTTGCAAAACTTTAAATGCGTTTTCTGGCTAAACTAGAAGAGATAGAGCGATTCTACGTGTTTTTTATGATCACTGGAAATGCACAGATTCTGCCGATATATGATAATAGGTTGTAGCAAAAATATTTTTGGAGATATTTGAAAAAATCTTTTGCAAAACTTTAAACGCATTTTCTGGTTAAAACGCATTTTCTGGCAAAATTTTAAACGCATTTTCTGGCTAAACTAAAAGAGATAGAGCGATTCTACGTGTTTTTTACGATCACTGGGAATGCACAGATTTTGCCGATATATGATAATAGGTTGTAGCAAAGATATTTTTGGAGACATTTGAAAAAATCTTTTGCAAAACTTGAAATGCGTTTTCTGGCTAAACTAGAAGAGATAGAGCAATTCTACGTGTTTTTTGTGATTACTGGGAATGCACAGATTCTGCCGATATATGATAATAGGTTGTAGCAAAGATATTTTTGGAGATATTTGAAAAAATCTTTTGCAAAACTTTAAACGCATTTTCTGGCTAAACTAGAAGAGATAGAGCGATTCTACGTGTTTTTTATGATCACTGGGAATGCACAGATTCTGCCGATATATGATAATAGGTTGTAGCAAAAATATTTTGGGAGATATTTGAAAAAATCATTTGCAAAGCTTTAAATGCGTTTTCTGGCTAAACTAGAAGAGATAGAGCGATTCTATGTGTTTTTTATGATCACTGGGAATGCACAGATTCTGCCGATATATGGTAATAGGTTGTAGCAAAAATATTTTTGGAGATATTTGAAAAAATCTTTTGCAAAACTTTAAACGCATTTTCTGGCTAAACTAAAAGAGATAGAGCGATTCTACGTGTTTTTTACGATCACTGGGAATGCACAGATTTTGCCGATATATGATAATAGGTTGTAGCAAAAATATTTTTTGAGATATTTGAAAAAATCTTTTGCAAAACTTTAAACGCATTTTCTGGCTAAACTAGAAGAGATAGAGCGATTCTACGTGTTTTTGGTGCTCACTGGGAATGCACAGATTCTGCCGATATATGATAATAGGTTGTGGCAAAAATATTTTTGGAGATATTTGAAAAAATCTTTTGCAAAACTTTAAATGCGTTTTCTGGCTAAACTAGAAGAGATAGAGCAATTCTACGTGTTTTTTGTGATTACTGGGAATGCACAGATTCTGCCGATATATGATAATAGGTTGTAGCAAAAATATTTTTGGAGATATTTGAAAAAATCTTTTGCAAAACTTTAAACGCATTTTCTGGCTAAACTAAAAGAGATAGAGCGATTCTACGTGTTTTTTGTGATCACTGGGAATGCACAGATTCTGCCGGTATATGATAATAGGTTGTAGCAAAAATATTTTTGGATATATTTGAAAAAATCTTTTGCAAAACTTTAAATGCGTTTTCTGGCTAAACTAGAAGAGATAGAGCGATTCTACGTGTTTTTGTGATTACTGGGAATGCACAGATTCTGCCGATATATGATAATAGGTTGTAGCAAAAATATTTTTGGAGATATTTGAAAAAATCTTTTGCAAAACTTTAAACGTTGTTTCTGGCTAAACTAGAAGAGATAGAGCGATTCTACGTGTTTTTTGTGATCACTGGAAATGCACAGATTCTGCCGATATATGATAATAGGTTGTAGCAAAAATATTTTTGGAGATATTTGAAAAAATCTTTTGCAAAACTTTAAATGCGTTTTCTGGCTAAACTAGAAGAGATAGAGCGATTCTACGTATTTTTTATGATCAATTTTTTGCCAAGGTAAGGGGTCGTGCAAAATTTTAAAAAATTTTCTATTTTTTGCCAAGGTAGGGGGTCGTGCAAAATTTTAAAAAACTTTCAATTTTTTGCCAAGGTAGGGGGTCGTGCAAAATTTTAAAAATTTTCAATTTTTTGCCAAGGTAGGGAGTCGTGCAAAATTTTAAAAAATTTTCAATTTTTCGCCAAGGTAGGAGGCCGTGCAAAATTTTAAAAATTTTCAATTTTTTGCCAAGGTAGGGGGTCGTGCATAATTTTAAAAATTTTCAATTTTTCGCCAAGGTAGAGAGTCGTGCAAAATTTTAAAAATTTTCAATTTTTTGCCAAGGTAGGGGGTCGCGCAAAATTTTAAACATTTTCAATTTTTTGCCGAGGTAGGGGGTCGTGCAAAATTTTAAAAAATTTTTAATTTTTTCCCAAGGTTGGGGGTCGTGCAAAATTTTAAAAAATTTTCAATTTTTTGCCAAGGTAGGGCGTCGTGCAAAATTTTAAAAATTTTCAATTTTTTGCCAAGGTTTTTTAAAAAATTTTCAATTTTTTGACAAGGTAGGGGGTCGTGCAAAATTTTAAAAAATTTTTAATTTTTTGCCAAGGTAGGGGGTCGTGCAAAATTTTAAAAAATTTTCAATTTTTTGCCAAGGTAGGGGGTCGTGCAAAATTTTAAAAAACTTTCAATTTTTTTCCAAGGTAGGGGGTCGTGCAAAATTTTAAAAATTTTCAATTTTTTGCCAAGGTAGGGGGTCGTGCAAAATTTTAAAAAATTTTCAATTTTTTGCCGAGGTAGGGGGTCGTGCAAAATTTAAAAAAATTTTCAATTTTCTGCCAAGGTAGGGGGTCGTGCAAAATTTTAAAAATTTTCAATTTTTTGATTTTTATAAATTGCTTGATTTCCATGCTTCATCTACATTGCAACTTGACGTGAAAGAGTACTCTGCGTGAAATCAGCTCGAAACTCAAGCTGCCTTTTTACTATGCTAGAAAATTTCAAATCATTATTAACATTTGAAATTGTAAGCGACTTGAGTGAAGTCAAATAACGTTGATATAAGTTAACAAGTAGAATAACGTTAATATAGACATAATAATAAACTTGTATCAGCCATATAAACGGAGGTACATATACATCATATCGTATATCTGCCTTGAACAGTTATGTACTGGTAACAAAGTATGAAATTTTAAATTTATAATTATGCCTTTCATATATTCGAATGTTTTTACCTAACTTTTATAAAATGGAAAATAAATTTTGTTGTTTTCAAAATAAAAATAACAAAATTTTTACCTAACTTAATTTAATTTTATTTCAGTTCGATGTTTTTGATACACTCGTTTGTTTATAATATTTTGTTTCTTTCTTGCCTATACAACTCTTATTACCATCTATTTTTGAATAAAAATAGAATATTTTAAGATTTTGTAAGCGGCAAGCAAATGAAAAATAACGGAATGGAACGAGTCGAATTACTTCTTAGATAGATATACTTTGATCATAATACTTTGATCATAATCTAGTAAAAAAAACTCAATATTAGTATTATGTTTCATAGCTTAATATTGTAATTCGTAATAACAATTTTACCCACCAGAGCACTCTGGTAATAAATATATTAACAATTTTTTCAATTTAAGCTTTTTAAAATTGAGAATTTTTATATATTTAATGCAAAATCAAAATCAAAAATCAAAAGAAACAAAAGAAAATAAACAAAAATCAAAAGAAAATAAATTTTTTCAAAGTTTTGTTTGAAAAACTTATAATAACAAAATTAAAATACTAATTATTTGTGTTTGTCCTCATTTTTAATATTATAATATTGGGAGTACTATAATATTGATATTGTGTCTGCCAGCAATATAACTAAATCTAAATTTTTCTTGACTCTATAAATTTTCGCTGTAAAGCAGCTGCTATATTTTAAAAGCATGTCAACAGATAGCGCTTTTTTGCTTATAAGTAAGGTTGTGTAAAATTGATTGCTGTTTGTTATTATTTTATCCAACCCTTATTTTTGACACCACGCCATATATATTACGCCATATTGAGTATTCTTTAAATGATGAAAAGTTGGAAAATAAACGTGCGATATACTCACAAATATACTTCTACAATTATTATTTAATAAAATTTATGCGAAGTAATAATTAATTTATAAAAATTTTATAATTTGATTGTGAAATATTCAAGTTAATCAAGTGAATTTTTTATTTTGAAAAAAGCATTGGTAGAAGATAGGAATCTCAGGAAAAAAATTTGCTTTTGTGCAGCCTAGTGCAGAAATTAAAGTATAAAAAAAAAGTTTCCTAAAAAGTAAAATACAAGCTAATAAAAGACAAATATAAATAGAAAAATTGTGGCAGTAGTATATATGAACGCAAATTTAATATAAGTTTATTTTAAAAAGCTAATTGAACCTTTGAAAGGCACGAAAATTTAAGTTTATTTTATTTTTGTTATTTTCAAATACCTACATGTTTTATAAAGTAAATGACGCCATCTTATCGCTATGAATTAAAATCACAATAAATTAATTCCGTTCCAGTATAATCATTATTTAAGCTCAGCTAGAGTGTTCATTATCTGGAATTTTGCGTAGTGTGTATTTAAAAGTATAATTAGATTATGTTTTATTTAAGGGGAAACTAAGGTATCTATTTTGTAAACAAAAGAAATTTAAATTGGACTATTTATGTAAATATCCTATCAAAGTATATTCAAATACAAGATATAATCATACATTTAAGTAAGCATTTGCCTAATCTCTCCTAGTTGAAATTTCAAAAATAAAAAATTAAGATTTTTTTATGAAATTATTTTGGCGGTTTAAAAATATTTGCAAATATTGCTTCTTTTTCAAGATCTATGCATTTTGAACACGTGTTTGGAAGTAACATCACGGAATTAATTTTATACATTTTTTTTTAAATTAAAATAAATATTAATTTAATTTGTTTTATTTTTACAGATAAAGACAGAAATACAATATCAGTAGAAAATATACAACAAAAAAATTTTCAAATGATAATCCTATAAAAAGTTCCTTCAATTACATATGCCCTTAATGTAAGTAGACATTGATGTTATACTTAATCTGTTTAAAAATAATATTCGTATAATAATTTTTAGCTGAAAAATTATGATGGATATTGAACTTGAAGAAAAAACTCATCAGGAAGTGAATTCTCTTCAAGAATCAAAGGAAAAAGAAGTGGCCTCAATAGATTATGAAGAATTAAAGAAAATTCCCACAGAAAATTGCACAAATAACCTTAACTTGCTTCAAAAAGAAGAAACAAGTGAATGTACAGAAAAGCAAGAAGATTATGTTAACTTATCATCAGCTAGATCAGAATTTGAATCAGAAGCTACAAATTTATCAAGTACTTTGGACTCTAGAGATGATGAAAATGAAAAAGAATGTGAATCTTCTTTAGACCTACTCTGTAGAAACAAATATTTACCCGTAGAAATTGAAGTTGACAACAAATGTGAACCTTCAGTAGATTTGTCATACAAAAACAAATCTTTACCTAATTCAATAGAAAGTAGTTTAGATAATTCCGAAAATGGTTTAGAACTTACAGCAAAAACTAACGCCACAAATGAAGAATGTTCTGATAGCAATTTTGAAAATGCGAATGAAAATGAAAAGCATTTATATAAAACGAAAATTAACGGTTCAAATCAGTTGGTAGAAAGTGAAAAAGAAGGATGCAGCGAAAATACAGTCGAAATCGAGGAAAATTTTAAAGAAAATTTTACGGTAAATGACAATAGTTGTAGCTCATCTTCATCTTCTGTTGGTTTAGTAATAGATCAACAACCGGATTTTCCAGTTGCCAACCCAATTGCTTCTCAAATTACAGAACGCGATAAAAATGAAATTGAAGAAATTAATCACAATTTGAGCGAAAGTTTAAAAATTAATTTAGAAGAAAATTTACAAAATAAAAATATAAATGATTGCGATAGTTTTAAAAATAATTTAAATAAATTAGAATGCTCAAAGGAAATTTTTTTAACGAATATAAAAACAGATAATTTAAGTGACGAAAAATTAATTAAAGAAAAAAATTTAAAACGTAAAATTAGCTTTTGTAAAGATAATGATAATTCACACGGAAGTGACAATAGTAGTGGCATTTGCCAATCTCCGCAACATAAAATTCTTCATCTGGATGAAGGTTATTTAAACAACAAAAAATCACCATCCCAAAATGTTAAAGTCACGGTGGCAAATGAAATTTCAGAAGGGTCCGAACAAGGCGAAAACTTCGAAAAGTTGCAATTGACAGAAAAATTTCCAATTATCGAAGACGAAAATGCATTGCATAACAAAAGTTCAAGTTCAAATTTAGATATGACAAATTCAATTTTAAGAAACCAGTTAGTGATAAAAATTGAGGAAAATGACCCAGGAGGAACACCCCAACATAGTCCTGAGAATATTGAGAATATTTCGAGTAGCATTATCGATAAAAATCAAATAGAACTACCTGACAGTACAAGACTTGAGCAACAAATTCAAAACGATAATAGAAATTTAAGATTTAGTGTACCATTATCTAATTTTGGTAACAACTACTTATATGAAAAAAGCGACAAATTGATCGCATTAAATTCTACAGGAAATCTGACTAAAATCAATTCAGATAAAAATGAGGAACCACATGAAATTGTGAAAACGGATGAAAACGTAGAAAATACAAAGGAAATAATAGAGGTATCTTCAAAAGCTATGAAAGATTTCTCCAACAATTTAATTTTAAATAATCAAGAATCGAGTACGCATATGAAAAATAAAGATAACTTTGGTGTTCAAGGTAAATATAAAAATGAATCGGAAACATCTTTAAATACAAATTTCAATAGTTTTTCTGAAGAACAAAATGTAACTAATGACACATTAATAGATTTGACTAATGATATAGCCGAAGCCTCTGCATATAATACAAGCGCTACTCAAAGTCAAACCGTCGGAAATATACCTAAAGAAAAAATTCTTCAGGAATGGAACAAAACGAACTCTTTGCCGCTTTCTTTAAATCAATCTTCACTATCACAAGATCTAACGAAACAATCCACATCGGATATGAGGCGCCTTGATGGTGCATCCCTCAACAAGCAATTAGAACCTTTAATTACAAATAGGTTAGATGCTGTAATAAATTATACGAATAATTCAAAGCTTTTAAATAGCCCGTCTTGGAAATTCGCACTTAAATATAAAAAACCAAATAAAAATATTGGAAGAATATCAAATAAATCTATGAAAAAGTCATCGAAAAACCTGCATCAGAACAATAAAAATCATCGTCAAATTAATTCAACAAAAAAAGTAAAGAATTCAATAGCGATACCGTCGACAAATTCTCAGTCAGGTAGTATTATTAATTCTCCTCAGTTTAATTTACCTAACAAATTGAATCCGCCAATTATACCACCAGTTTATGAATTATCACATACTTTAAATCGCCACACGGAGTATAAATGTTCCAAGTGTTTAAATTCAAATTTTAAAAATATTAGAGAATTAGAAAACCATCATAAGTTTTGTCTATATGGATCAACAAATTCAAATGAAGTAATTTTTATGAATTCTAATCAACATCAACAATTAGGTTTATCTTCAATCAACCATAGCAATAATAATAAAAATAGTAACATAAATAGTGGTAACAATAGCAATAGCTCTAGATTAACACAATTTTCATCTGGAATTAATAATTTAATTCACAATGTTGAGGATGTTATGCTGAATATTCCTAAAGAATCAAATATTCGAAATTTATTACATAAACAACAATCCCCACTTTTTAACATTAATGATAAACCAATAGAAATAACACCAAATTTAAATCATTATCTAAACCAAGTTGAACAAAAGCATAAAAACCTACTACAGCACCATCATCATCTCAGTCACAATCAGAATTTATTCTCTCACTCTTTGGATGAAACAATTAAACGCAGTTTTTTACAAAACGATGCTAGACAACAAAATCTTGTAACAGCAAATGAGCAAAAGTTAAATGCGGATAATTATAATAATAGATTTAGTAGCTTGTTAACTTCAGGGTTTCAAAATAAAAAGAAATTACATCTTCAACAACAACAGATACCAGCATCTTTTTTGGATAATGGAAATATCTTAGACTATCCTATAATACAAGATTCATCTAATATTTTCGAAATAAATGACGGCCCATTAAGTTTTAATCCTTCTGGATTGCAAAAATCCGCAAATGTTGGTATTGCAAAGGGTTTACGTAGATTTAGTAATTCTGGAGTTTTTGGTTCTAATATCGATATAAGGTAAATGCTTAATATTTATATTTAGTTTAACCTGTAGTAAATCATTTTGTTTTTTCTTTTTTAGTTCAAATACTTTAACAGTGTTAAATAAAAACCAATTGGATAATACTCAGTATTCTTCTAACTTACAACAAAAAACAGATTCATTAGAGCCAATTATGCTTAAAGTAAAACAAAATCAGTTTTCTCCAATTTTGCCGCCAGAACAACTGCTAAATAAATTGTCAACATCTACATCTTTGTCAACTTCATTATCTTCTACATCTTCGTCTCTCCAAGATTCATTAATTTTCAACACAAGTGTGACAGAAGAAAGTTCCATAAACACAGAAAACACAAAAAGAAAAATTCCTATAGAAATTCAAAATAATGAGAGTATTCAAAACAGAACTATTGTCAAGGATTTGAAAAGTAAGGGATCAACTCAAATTTCAACAACAACTCATATTATTTCAAATTTAAATGAAAAAACTCAGCAAAATAGCAAAGAAGATCCAAAATCTTTAGTTAATCTAACGGAAAATAAAAATAATAAGAAAACAAAAAAATTATTTCTATGTAGCAGCTGTGGATCATATCACGAGAACTGGAATTTATTTTTACATATGCGAGAGATGCATAAACGTCATATTTGTTTATTATGTCTCAGAATGTTTCCTACAGCGGAACAATTAACAGTTCATTTAGAAATGAAACATGATATTGAGCAAAATCATTTTGAGTCGCAAGAAAAGTTAATACGCTCCTCTAGAGATTCATGTTATTTAATGTGCTGTACATGCGAGCATATATTTACGGAGCATGACGATTTTTATCAACATATTTGCGCAAACTATTTAAAACCTTGCAATTTGTGTGGCTTATTAGGTAAACATGCGTTAAATTGTAGGTACGCCGCAAATGAGCATAAAAGAAGTAAACGTGGTAAAAAGCAAGTGAATTCGAAATTGCAACAAAATATGCCAATTTTAAACAACCATAATGAAACAAAAATAGATCTGCCAAGTTCAGAAGAAATAATACAAACCAAACAAGTCACTAACAATACAAACGAAATATTAACATTAACAAACCCAGATCAGCCTATGACTGGACAAAGTAACAACTGTGATATAACTGCAAACAACCAGAAAAATACCCAATTTAAGGAATTTCAAAACAAAAGCAATATTGGAGATTTGTTAACAAACACAATGAACGATGAACGTAATTCAGATTCAAATAATGGATCAGATAGTGATTCGAATAACAGATATAATGGATATTTAGAGCATTTCAATTATAATGACAATGACCTGATAAACTTATATAAATCCAATCGCCTAGCAAACTTAGCAAAACAAAAAGAAAAAGAAGAAGCAGAAGCTAAGACTAAGTCTTTAGTAAATCAGAATCCAGAAAACCAATTGTCAAATATAGAAACAGAGAAAAGCAAAGAGGTATTTAGTAAAGATTATAAACATAATTCAGAAAACTCGAACAAAATGCTAATGCCAAAACTGACTTTAAAAATTTCGAAAGAAATGTTTAATCGCGCCCAAGACTTGGCAGAAGACTCTGATGAACTATCTTCAAATGAAAGTTCTGATGCTGAAGATAACGAAGTAGAAATTGAAGATGACACAAAACAAAATACAGGCATAAAAAGTAATTTGGAAAATATTCGAGAAAATCAATCAAATATAAATTCTACCGATGAAAATGCTGACATGAGAAAAGAAAAAGAAGATGTAAAACGAAAGAGTTTAGAAGATCAAAAATTATTAAATAACATTTTGGAAGTAAGTTCGGAAGTTCAAAATAAAGAAAATATTGAAAGTGTTTCCCAAAGTATTGAAAATAAAAGTATCGCTTTTCTGGATGAAAGCAAAAGTGATTCTGATATGGATATTGATGTTACATGTAATCAAGGTATAGCTATAATTTTTGGTCTTTTACTTGAATTTAATTTATTTAAATAATTTTTAGGCGGAGACGTTGCACCGGTTTCACTTGGGCTTGGTTTGCAATCACAATCACAAATATTGGCTTCTTCTGTACAATCCAATGAAAGTTCAACTGACGCTATGCAAGTTGATAAAACCCCCCCTACTTCAGTTTTAAATGAAAAAATTAAGAATAATGATCACTTGTCAAATACTATTGAACTTTCCCAGCCTGATGTCAGAATTGCAGAAACATTGTCCCAAATGAAAGACTCTGAAACCTCGATCAATTATGGTACAAACAGTGAAAGTCAAAATAACGCTTCTTCCTCAGCATCAATTGAAAACCCTGTGGCACCTATTAAAAAGATTTCTACGGATGGTATAGAACTAGCTAATGACGATGTTCAAATTTCAGAGCTTAACCTAGATGCACCATTAGATAAAATTCCGATGGTATCATTATTACGAATTATGTTAAAAGAAACCTATCCAATATGCTTGTATTGCAATCATGCTCGACGTATTGCCGTCAATGGAAATAGTTTAGCTTTACATATGCTATCATCACATCGATTTTCAGCTACTGTTGACAGTATTACAGCTGAAGAACTACTTCCAGGAACAATAATATCAAAATTAAAAAGTTATTTGAAAGATCTTAATGAATACTATTTTAATATGGAAACATATTGTAATATCGACAAGCATTTGAACGCAGTCTTCCCCACAATTGATGAAAAAATATTTGAGTGTTTTTCCTGTCGTTTTTCAACAAGAATACATAAAGAACTTTATTTACATAATAGAAAAATGCATCTGAGAACGGCTATTTTGTGTTTCATGTGTCGTTCAAACTTTTATAGTTACAGCGAAATATTGTGTCATATTTGTCCTGGTGCTCAGTACAAAGTTGTTTTATTTGACATAAAATTTCGTTGTTGTATATGCGATCTAGACCAAATATCGTCAGCATTTAGATTAATGGTTCATCTAAGAAAAGCTCATTTCGCATGTGATGTTTGTTTAGAGAATTGTTTTGATCAAAGCAGGTAAACCTTTTTTTTTTACTACTTTCCTTACCAATAACTTAAATTTAAAAACTATTATTCTAGGTTGTCTAGTCATGTCTGGAAGCATAAATTGCACCATTTATGTTATCGTTGTGGTATTGCTTATCGTAACAAACCAGATATTACAAAGCACTTATTTTGGAAACATGGTACAGAATCAGTTTTATGTAAACGATGTCTGCAAAAAAGGTGGCCTCATGTATATCATTTCTGTATACCTCCAACAAGTTTTGTGTGTGAAGTCTGTAATTTAGCTTTTACACGCGCAATGTATCTAAAGGTTCACAAAAGGATACATACCGGAGATGCACCATACCCATGTACAGAAGATAATTGCGATAAAAAATTTATTTCAAGAAAATTACTTTTGAAACATGTTGATGAACATGAACAATTTCATAATGAAGACAAATTACCAAACATTGTTGAACCCGAAAAAACGATTAAGAATGAGAGCAGTACTGAAGACAAGCCAGAAGTTCAGCAAGCTCAAAAAGATGAAGAGTTGTCGAAGAGTAAAACTGATGACAAGGAAAATACCGAAGAAACAGATGGACATGTTAGCAAAAAGAAGAAAAAGAAAACAAAACGTTCTTCTGAAACAAAAGAAACTTTGGAAGATCTTAATTTGCAAGCACCTAACTTATCGGAAAGCGGAAGTAGTGACGACTCTGACACAGAAGCGTCTGCAAATCAAAATTCCTTAGTACCAAATGTAATTTTATCTCCACCATCAGAACAGGAAGAAGAAGAAGAAGGAAAAAAGGAAGCTAGTCCTGAAAAAATCATCGATATTTGGAATAATTTCAAGACATTTCAAGCAGCTCATAATAAAATTGAAGATAACGAAATTGAAGATAATAACATAGATCCTCCTGCGCCAATCTTACATGTTGTTCAATCAGATCATGACTATTGTAAAATGTACAAAATTGCAAGTGAAAAAATTGTAGTAGAAAATGGTAGTGATAAAAAGAATATTTCAAAGGAAAACAGTGAAAATTTGGATGTTTCGCAAAAAAAAGATAAGAGTGAGAGATCATTGCTCTTAGCGATTTCTCCATCTAAAAAAAAAATGAAATCAGCGAAAAAGTCTTCACACACAAAATCTGGATCGGACTCGTCATCAAGTGATGAAGGCTCTTCCAGTAGTTCTGATTCATCATGTACTTGTGGTTCAAATTGCAGTTGCAGCAGCACAACAGACAGTTCAAGTGATTCATCGTCTTCGTCCGATACTGATAGTTCTTCATCTGAAGGCAAAAGACGAGTTGCAGCTAAACGTGCTGCAAAGGAAGAACGACGACGTAATCGTTTACAAAGTGAAAATTCATCCAAAGCCAATAATTCAGATGTGATCGATGTTGTCACGACTGATTTGAAACCAGAGCCGAAACTTCTTGAGCCTGTCATCTATGAAGATGATTTGGAAACTGAAGAGTCCGATACGGATGAAGATTTCTATGACGAGCATCCACAAAAACTTGCAAGTGAAATGTTGGCTGAAAAACGCCGCCAGTTAATGAAGCAAACCTGTCTAAGCCCTTCTCACAACTATGATATAGTTGAAAATAGTCGACCGTCGACACCTAGTTTGCCAGAAGATGTTTATGGTTCAATAAACAACAGAGAAAAAAAAGTGAAGGTCAAAAAGAAGAAACGTGAAAGAAAAACATCAAATAAAAATTTAATACCACCATTCAAGTTAGCCTTAAATAAACCATGCACAGATGAAGAGGGATTAGAATCTCCATTCGTACCCCCAGTTACTCCCATTCAAACAAATACTAATGAATCAATTTCAGCTACGTTAGGAAATAAAATTGAATCATTTATTCCTTCAGGTTAGTGTTAAAATTTTTAAGGTTTGTTTTAATTACTTTATGTATATATACCTTTTTCCTTAATTTTTTTCAGATGATGCAGATGTTTTGGCAATAAATGCAGTTGCATCTAAAGTTTCTGAAACCCCGGAAATATCTTCTATTTTTAATAGTTCAACCATTTCAAATGCCACAACTCCAGTGAATTATCATAACTTTGTCAATTCAAATGTTCTGTCCACGGCGTTATCTGCATTAACGTCAACGCAATCAGTTGAAGCAATTTCTGAAAATTATCAATCACCAATTTCACCATCTGCAATATTAAATCCTTCATTGATAAGACCGCCAATTCATCCTACTCAGACAGTATTTTCTGCGGTATTACCTGCCCGCATCGATCCCAATTTTGTTCGCCATAGTACAGAAAGTAGTTCAGACGCTAGTGCTAATATGCTTTCCAATACTGATATAGCTCTAAAACGATCAAAACGTGCTCGTCGACCTAATCGTTTCTATGGTTATTCAAGTGATGACGAAGCAACTCACAATGCAGCACTGCTGGGAACATCTGGGGTTTTTAAACCTATTCCTCCTCCAAATTTAACATGGAGAAAGGAAGATCTACCAACACCACCTCGAAGTTCTTCCGGAAAAAATATAAAACCCAGCGGAATAAAATCATCTTTATTATCAGGAAGTAAAAAAATGAAATTGTTTTCCAAAAAGAAGGACGATTCTGTTAAGAAAGCACAATCGTTTGTGTCAAAAATAAGTAAGGTAGGAAATCCTTCCAGTATTTCGACACCAAAAATACCAACTTTAAAGATCAAGCCAATGGATATCCTCCCACAAATTCCTCCATCCATACTAGATCATCAACTACAAGAAATAAACAGTTTTCAAAGAATGCCCCAACCTCCTCCAGTGGTCGAGCCAATTAATAGTTTACCTCCAGTACAAGTTCATCATATTGACCCACCACAATTTTATCCATCAAGTAAAGAAAGTATTGATAGTGATTCTGAAAGTGATGAAGATAAATTAACAATTCCACTTCAAATATTTAATACTGAAAGTAAACCAGTTTCTCAAACCAAAGCAGGTAAAAAATCATCAACACCTAAAGTAACGAAAAACAACCAAAATAAGTCTAATAAAAGCAAAGCAAAAAATAACAGCGGTACACGAACGACATATAATACACTAGCACCAGTACAGATCAACAATTCCTTACAAAATATACCTTCAGAAATTAAAGAAAAAACACCACCTCCGCCAAAGGAAAAGAAAATTCCACTAGCACTACTACCGAATCCGGATTTAGCTACACTGCAATATTTTAAACGAAACAATATACGATATCCAATACGTCCACCAGCTGGTGCTAGACCACCCCGGGAAGGAGAAAGTGTTTATTGTTATTGTAGATGTCCATATGATGAAGTTTCTGAAATGATTGCTTGTGATGGTGACGATTGTATGATAGAATGGTTTCATTTTGAATGTGTTGGTATACTGGTTGCACCACAAGGTAAATGGTTTTGCGCAGAGTGTAAACCCAATCAACAAATTTACTCATCGTCACAAAATATTACACAATTACAAACGCAAATATATCAATCACAAAACACTTCGGATATTGCTAATATATCAAATTATGGTAATTCATCAATAAATAATTTAAGCGGGTTTAATGGTCATTTGATCAATAATAGCAATGCTGCATTAAGCACAAGTTCAAGATCAATAACTTATCAATAAATAAATATTATGTAAAATGTATTTGAAAATTTCAAAAGCAAAATGAGATTTTAATTAAAAATTTTAATTAAGAAATTTTAAGTTAAATTTTTATTAGTTTTTCATTTGTAAAAGCAGAAAACATTTTCACAAAAAAAAAGAGAAAAATCAAAATTAAATAGAAATGTGAAAAAAAAATCCAATATACAAAAATATTTTATACGAAATTTCTCAATTTTTCATGAATTATGATTATTTCTACATTGTAAATAATATTTGAAAATCTTAATTAAAATAAAAAAATCAAGAAACGACAATGAAAATATGCTATGTAAATATTCCATTTAAAAGTAATATTTAAAAACGAAGGATAAAATTATTTAAAATTATTATTAATTTAAACTAAAAATACAAGTTAATACGCTTATTATCTTTAAATTAAAAAAAAAGTAAAAATTTCAAATAAAAAAAAAACATAATTACCGAAAAAAATATAAAAACTTTCTGAATAAAATAATATTACATATAAATTAATATGATATAAAACTTAATTTAAAAATTTAGTATTTAAAAATTTAATTAAAATATAACAAACATACAATAATTAAAATAAAACAAAAAAAAAACTGTATATTGAAGAAATATATGTGATTATAGAAATTTATATTAGAAATTTTTTCTTATTTTGAGCTTTATTCTTGATTATTGTTCTATTTAAATTCACCCAATAAGTTATTATTCGACAATTAAAGTTTCGCTGATTTCGTAGAATACATTCATACCTTGAAAGCTTTTCCTACAAGTTTAATCTATATACCATTTGAATTGCTTGATATTAACATTTGAGCTATTCTTTTTTTTTTTTTTAAATGTACATTTCGAAATATTTAAGGATTGAAAGAGGAAATCGTCTCTCTTCTCAATAAAATTACTGTTAGTTAGCTAATTTTTTTAAAAGCGAACTTATGCCACTTTGCAAAACAATTAATTTTTCTTGACTGCAAACTTGCATTAATACTTTATTAATATACAATTACAATTTACTGCAAATTGGAAGTCAACTTTACGTAAATACTTTATAATAAATTTTATTACGGTATAAATACAGTTCTATTAATATTTCAAATTTTTCATTACCACTTATAATTTTTTCTATATAAAAGAAGATTAATACACATGCGGTTTAAGTATCAGACTAGATGAAAACTCTTTTGGTAACGCTAAGACAAATTTAATTGAGACGATTTTCAATGCAATTGAAAATAGTTAAAATTTTTTACTAGTATTAGGAATATTATCTAAATAAATTTTTGAAAAATCTTTCAAACTCCTCTCTTCCTTTCAATATGATTTACCGAACCGATATTCTTCTCCCCAACAAGTCAAATAACTCGACTGCAATTTAACAAATAGAAGTTTTTTAATATTTTGCGGTAATATTTTTATACTCTTTTCATAAATAATTCAAGTAATTTTTGCGTTAATACAAAATAATAAGAAAGATCCCATATTTCTGATAAATTCCAATAGTATTTACTATCCTATACTATTTAAATACTATACTTTTTAAATAGTATTTGCTGAATATAAAATGTGAATAAAAATATTATTTTTTTAATTCATTTTTAAATTTGAGATTCATATAAGGTATAATTTACAAAAAAAAATTATTTTTTTATTTATTAATATTTATTTACATTTATTACATTTTACTGACGTAAATTTTTTATTAAATCTTATTAAATTTCAATTTATTTTTAATTTTAATCAAACTTAAATGCAACTTCATTTTAATAAATTTAAAATAAGCTTAATTTTTTTTTTGAAAATACAGAAATAAATTCATTTTATTAATGTAAACGGAATTTTTTTTAATATCCTTTTTTCTATTTTCCTCTCTTATGTATTCTAATATATTATTAATATAATTTTTGACTAATACATTTGCATAATATCAAATTTAAATACATATATTATGTATGTGTATGCTTATTTGAATATAGAGTGTAAGTGAACAAAATGCGATAACTATTATTCATAAAAGTTATGTACATGATGGTTGATGAATGGTTGTTTAATAAACTGTCCACTATAATAACATTGTATAGGTGTACCGTTTAGGTATAATTTTTTTTTTTTTAGTTTAATTTTTACTCAAAGGATATAAGGACATTGAAATTTGAACTTGAAGCTTAGTTGAATTGATTTATTCGTTCAGTAAGGTTTTAATATTTATATCTCGCTTTCAAAGGATTATTCAAATTTTTTGTTTTGTTAAAATTGAAAATAAAATTCGTTTTGATTTTTAATTCTAATTTTTAGCGTAATTTTAAGTTTTTACATTTGCCGTTATAATTATATGAATATAATTATGTTATATGCATATATATAGAAATATAACATTTTCTTTTATTGTGTTATATTAAAATTTTTACATTTAATGATGTTACATTTAAATTTTTTTTTTTAAATAATAAATATTCATTATGAAATTTAATGATAATTGTTGTCTTTACAAAAACATAACAATAAAATTTATGTAATTTAAAAAAAAATTATCTAATATTAAGTAAATATTCAATTAAATTATAAAAATTATTAAATTCGAAATTTAATATTTTTAATAAATTACGTGAATTCCCACGCAGCATATTAGCTATATTCAATTAAAATAAAATAAAAAAAAATCAATATAATTTTAGAAATTAATAAAATTTACCAATAATCGAATTATTTTCTTTGTATTTGTGTAAATATTTATTATGGAAATAGATAAATTTATATATTATATATAGAAATTAAAAGTAAACATAATTGTAGGTACAAAACAACTGAATCAAAATTTATAATGAATAGAAAGAAATGATGTTTTTATATTTAAAATATTAATTATCAAAAAAAAAAAAAACCCTTAAAAAAAATTAAAAATTAGTAAAAGCTTTATTTTATAAAAAATTATAAAACATGGTTACAAGAGCATCAAGTGTTCCAAATTCAATTAATAAAACTGGTGAAAGATTGGAACGTACATCGAATAAAACAAATCAATCAACTGTACCAGTTCCTAATTCAAAAAATAATAGAAATAATCGCGGTCGAAGTAGTAATAATAGTGGAAATCTGAAAAATAAAAAAACTGTACCAAGATCAAGAAGTTTAACAAATGGTATAAGAAAACCAAGTCCAAGCCCAAATTTAAAAGGTCATATTAATAATGGTCAAAGGACACAAGATAAACGTAATGCACCAATTGTTGTTAGATCTAGAGGAAATGAGTAAGTAATAAATTTTTGTTAAAAGTTAATGTTTTTGCATGTAATAAAAATTATTATTTAATTTTACATAATATAAAGGTACATGACTGTTATATAACAACAGTTTAATAGATTATATTGTTGTTATATTTATATAGCTGCAATGTATAATATTTTATATTGTAATTATTATGGAAAATAAAGTTTTCGAACAAAATACGAATAATTATACAGAGCTAGTATCTTAATTAAGATTTACTATCAACTTGATTAAATCAAATTGTAAAATACAACTAGTATGAACTGTGATGTCATATATTGATGTTAGATCCACATTTATAGATATTTTCTTATATATTACAAATTTTAAAAGGTCTTTTTATTATTTTAGTGTTAATTTTAAAATTTAATATAGATTTTAATTGATCAATTACAAATTTTACTCTTTATATCTTTGTTTCATGTAACTGCGAACCTTGACTACAAAATTTGCGCAGTAATATATAAATATACCAAATATAATAAAAAATAAAATCTTGAGTTTAAAGTCGTATTAGTGGTTTTTGAACTCTCAACGATCTAACCACGTTTTATGATCACGTTTAATATGATAATATGATGTTTCATTGCTTCAAATTCACAATAGAACCTATATTGTATATTAATTTAATAATTGAACCTTAACTTTTTAAATGTTATATACAAAATAATAACGCTATTAATTTTCAATAATTATAATAAAATTAAAAAAAAATTAAAATTTCACTCAGAAACAAAAAAACTCTTAAATTGATTGTATTTTTTAAGCAGGGGGCGGAACGGCAATCAATTCTTGATTCAAAAAAAAAAATTATAAATTTATTTTGCATATATATAGGCACAACTTTATGATAATGAACATATTATGCAATTTTATAATATTATAATCAATATATAAATTAAGCTAGAAAAGCGAATAAGTATAACAAATTTATTAAGCCATTATTATATTAATAAATAATTTAAGAATAAAATTTTACGTGACCATATCATGCATACAAGCATAAACACTTACACGCAAGCATACATATAAATTAATATTTCTATTGTTACTATTCTTTTATTGCAGTTTATAATATAATTAAGAGAAACAAATAAAAAATTCGTATATTTATTAATACAAATACGTTTATTCCCCTCTTACCTTATAAAACAAGACTTACAAAAGGTATAAAAGGGGAAAGGATATTGCATATTTCGATTTTAATAACAGATAAAATAATTATTATCTTTCTTTAACACGAAATTAAATATAAAAAAAAACCTGATGTGGCCAATACATGACCACCATTACTATACATTTCCCGAATGGTATTTGAATATTTATCTATAAAGTGTTATTACACTTATGCAAGTGTAGCTAAACAGATGCACGAGAAAGTGAAAACAATTTTTATATAAAATTATTTTAAATTTGATAATTGTATTATTTAAAATAGGAAGACGACGAAAATACAGAACAATGTCCATTATATAGAGGTACGAGTATTAGGTTTCTGTAATCCAACTTCCGTTAACGTATAGAGCTAACTTGTCAAATTTTAACAAAATTTATTTGATTATATTGCTTAAAATTCGCTGTTAGAAAAGGGTACGGTCCGTTTTTTTTACAAAAAGTCATTCGGCTTGTTTTATGAATAAAAAAAAATTCTGAGAACATATACAATGAAAAGTATAGAAATGGTTGTTAGTAAAAGTCAACTAGGCCATAGTTTACTTATACTTGATCTGTTTAATTGCTTTAAATTCACAAAATAAACTATAATAAATATTGTGATTTCATCAATTCAACCGAAATTGGAACAAAGAAGGGTGCGTATTATGCAAACCAACATTTTCCCGAAAATAGTTTTGTTAAATTTCTCTCCCATAGAGAAATTTCATTTCCGTTATTTCGATATGTGAAATTTAATGTGATTGCAATACCTTCCTTATTATATGCAATACAATTAGTAAATATTCGTTCATTTTCCATGAAAATATTAAAATCATGATTTTAATAAAACAGCCACATTATTTTTATTAAAATTCATAAATATAACGTTGTTAAAAATAATATTCTCATAATAATAGTATAAAAAAAATTCGAAAGTATTATTTGGATAAAATTGTTATGAACCTTATATGATTTTTTTCAAAATCAAAACTTTTAAATTTAGGAATAGAGATTTTTGCTACAAAATCCATATTTGATTGATTTGATTTAAAATGTTATAATGAAAAAATATCTTTTCAAAAAGAAAAATATTTCTGATACACACAGAGTGGGAAGTGAACATAGTTCACAGATTGAGGTCTGGTATTATATAGAATTACTTACTCCCAATATACGCCGAGTAAATATAAGAGTAAATATTTGATTAATTAATTAATACTTTATTCAAATTTAATTTATAAATTTATTTCAATAAATCATACCGAAGTTAAAATGCGCGTTTATATTTTTTTTGACAATTTTGTTAAATGAAAATCAACACGGAGAGAAGAGAGCGAGAATAATTCTTAATACAAGCTCTTGTCAGTTTCACATTTAATTACCAAAAATTACCGTTTAATTTTTCATATTTATAGTAGATTTTATTTGTAATTAATTAATTGTAGTCCTTAAATATAAGTAATAAATTTTAGTCAATAATAAAATATATTATTAATAATTATATTTTACGTAAATTGTTAGATTTTATTGAAAATGTCAACTGGTCATTACTAATACAAATAAATCAATACGATTAAATTTAAATGTTCCGTGTGCTGTTTTTTCTTAAAATAATAACAAAACATATTAAATATTAAATTTTTAAAAATAAATTAGTATCTTATTGTTCTTTAAGTATATATGTATGTGTATATGTATAAAAACATATGGAAATTTTAAAAGGATGAATGATTATGCAACAGTGAAACCGAACAACTGTTTTCAAGTATAACAATTTTATTGTATATAAAAATAAAAATTTGAATGGCTACATTATTATTTTGAATTTTAAATTCATACACGTTATACACTATGTTGACAACTGTATACACATTCATAAATAACTCATTCCTTATAATATGCGAAAATAATAACATTTTATAAGTCAAAAAATTAAATTTTTGAGTTTAATATTATTAGACGAATGAGAAATTTCTTATAGTACATACATATTTCGACACAAAACTTTGTGAGTCTCTTAGCAAAAATAATTACAAAATGGCAAGTTTGTTTCGCTAAGGTTTCTTTTCAAATTTGGTTTTTATTTAAAGTGCCTTAAATAAAAACAATTTCAATCTCTGAATTTCAAGTTTTTTGAATTACGTCGTTTTACTTCTCAAATGACGATTATGACTTATGAGGCAACAAAATATCAATTTTTTCTTTTAATTTTTTGGAAGGGTTCGACTTATTTATTATTTAAAAAAAATTATGTATGTATGTATGATATTTTTAAATGTCAAGGACGTTTAAAAAAATTTTATAATTTTTGTTTTTTCATTCTATATAAAGTTTTCAAAAAGGAGGAAAATATCTTGTTTTGGAATGATTCTTAAATTAAAATTATTAATTTATGTTTCATGTTTGTGTATACATCAATAATTTGTTTATTGTTATATTGATGTTATGTATTGGAATTCCTGGCAAGAAAATATTTTATTAAGAACAAAATTTTATTGCAAAATTGCAGAAGCAATGTATATATGTATGTATGATCATTGTCATTTAAAATAACTTGTTGGCTCTTATAAATTATTGTTCTAATATAATATGTACATATGTAGTACATGTAATATGTATATATGTACATACTTATTTTAAAAGCTTTTAGATTATGTACTTAGGTACATCATAATAATTTTGCAATGTACTTTATTCAGCAATTAGTTAGCTGAATTTGAATTTAAATTAACCACCCCACACGTACATTTTGCATTAGAATTCTACAATAATTGTATATAGTAAAATGTAACTAAACAAAGTTGCAAGTAATCCAAATTTATAATGAGATGGGATTTTACGAAGAGATGGGAATAAAATTTTCATAATTGCTCTCCTTTTAAAACTCAATTTCTATCGCCAATTTTTGATTAATTTAAATTTTGTAGAAACTGTGATCAATTTAGTATCAAATCAATTTCAAACAATTAAATGGTGTAACTAATTTCAAAATTTGTTTGTTTAGATTATTAATAATTTTTGGAATTCCCAGTTGTAAATTTGTGGTAAATATTTTAGTACACACAACATTATTCATTTGTTTTTTTGAATATAATTATAAATATGTATGTATATTTTTAATAATCTTAAACACATATATAGACGTGCATATATACATACGTATTACAATAACAATAAAATATAAAAGCAAATTTCCTAATGCTTTCAAAACACCTTAAATGTTGTCATGTTGCATAATTAATTTTTATTCTATTACATTAATAATTAATTCATTTAACACTAAGTATATTGTTATATATGTATTAATATTATTAAATACATAATATAATATAAACTTCAAAAAGTTCAATTCTAAATTAAATCAAAATCAAGTCCAAGGTCCCAATTTTTTTTTTTAATAATATACCTGCCCTTATTAACTAGATATGTAAACATTTACCTACATTATTTGTATAGCTATAAGCTATAATGTCTGTACAATCTTTGTATTTGCCATAAAAATTAATGCAGACACACTGCTACATACATATCTAAATATGTAGATATGTATAGTGTTTAGAGTTTTACTAATTTAATCTATTAAAATCTACTATTATAGTATATGTATATATATATATGTATAAATAATTATATAGGGTGCCTATATAAATTATAATATTAGTATACCATTCTTAAAACTATATTATATATTTATAATTTTCCATGTTAATCCTGCCCTCATGTACACAAAAAACACTATACACCTATTTTGATGTAATGGCAAAATGAGTGTAAAAATGTATAGTAGACCATGTCCAAATTTCAAAATTACAAATACTCATAATAA